CTTTCAGACTGACAGGGAATTGAAGCAGAGTTTTTCCTCCTTTCTTGGCTCTGGAGAATGACACTTATATTCAGCAAGTGCCATAAACTTTTACATATAGTGGGTAGGAGATAGTTGGTATTCTATTGCTGTTTCTGGTCTTTTCTTTAGGTGACATTCATTGACTCATAACTACCTTTCCCCATCTTCAAAGTCAGCAACAATAAATTGTATCTTTCTCATGCTGCCATCTGATTCTCTTTGGCAAAAACTTGCCTTTAACTATGTCGTGCGATTTGATTGGGCTTACCTATAAACTCTGGCTATGCTCTCCACTTACGGTCCTTAAACTTAATCACACATGCAAAGACTCTTCTGCCATTTCAGGCAACACAGGTTCTGGAAATCAGAGCACCTTTGGGGGCATTATTCATCACACATGAAGAACTGTATAATTATATGCATTTGTGATAACTCCTTCTTATTTTCTCCTGTAGACATCTCAAACACATGATCTTCAAGAGTAAGTTAATTTTCCACCAAATGTGCTTCTTTTGTAGTTGGGGAACATAATCTTTACCCAACAACTGAACTTAAAGATCGAGAATGCTTCTCAACAAGCTCAACAGATTGAAATCTATAGCAATTGAAGAGAGCAGATTTACTGACTTATTCCTGCCTACATTTATCCTACCACTAACTGCCCTTGCATGGTTTCCGTTTTCCTCAAAAGTATGCCTTGTTCAATTGCCTGGTGCTTGCCAGCTGGCAGAACTGCTAACATGAATAATGCATCCTTGTTGGCTGCCTAACAAAAGTTACAATCCAGCATGGAAAACACACATTAAACAAACAAAGACATGTGAGAAATGCCCTGGAAGAGGACCTTCTTGATTTTTTGATCATGTATCATTGAGTCACTTGTCAAACTAAAGTTCAAAATTTGTGAGTTTTTCACTGGGTGCAGGGCAAAAGCCTTAATCTCAGTTGTTCTGGAGGCTGAGGCAGAATTGTGAGTTCAAAGCCAGCCTCTGCAACTTATTGAGAGACCCTATCTCAAAATATAAAAAGGGATGGGGATGTGGCTCAAGGTTAAGAGCCCCTGGGTTCAGTTCCTGGAACAACAACAACAACAACAACAACAAATTTTTCTAAGGAGAGGCTATTAAGTCACCTAATTTAGATCAGTTGAGATAAAAAAAAAATAAACTTTTTTGTCACCTTTATAGGATTCTGGGAAGGTTGGTTCTGATAAACATGGAAATGGAGACTGATAAATTATATGTTAAATATGGCAATTCACTTTTAACAAAATCAAGCAGAAGGGATCTTTGGGTCCCATCTTGATTACTCGTTGTTTAATGGAGTTAGACTGCAGATTCTAAGGCTCCACATTGGGTTTAATGAATCACAATGTCTGACATGGGGTCTAGAAATATGAATCTTAAATGAACATGAGGTTGTTGTGCACAATAATAGGAAATTATTAAACGCATTTCGACTTACCAACACTCTCTTCCCTGCATTGTCCAGCTTCCGAGGCCTCCCCACATTTTTTTGGCTCTCAGTCTTTTCCATTTTCAGAGCCAGCAATGGCAGATAGAATCCTCAAGTCACAGAACTCTGCTGGGCTTCATGTTAACACAGCTCTCTAACGACAGCCAGGACTGTTTCTCTGCTTTTAAGAACTCCAGTGACTAGATTGGATCCACCTGGAAAATCAGGTTAATCTCCTTGTTCCAACATTCTTCATTACCTCTGCCAAATCCCTTGTTCATGTAAAGTAAGTAACAATATTCTCAGGTTCCAGGGAATCAGAGATGGGCAACTTGGATAGAGTGGATATTACTTTTCCTACCAAGATGCATGCTGATTTGGAGAGCCCGAACTTGAAGCCACTAAGCTCATTAGCGTGTGCCTTTATCCAGGTGAAAACAACAGTGGAGAGAAAATTCAGGAGACAGACTTTTCACCACTAAACAAATGGAACCTTCAGGCTCAAAGGAACTTGTGCCTTCCAAGACTGCACATAGCTCCCCATTTGACTTCTAATCCATGTGTGTTTCATTTGATATAAAAGTGAAGCAGCCAACAGCTTGAGCGTTGATTCTTACAAATGCCTCATGTGACTATAAGACCTTAGAGTCTTTATATTAGTATCCAATGTCTCTAGTGTGTTGGATGACATATAGAGAACAGGAGATGGACATGGATTTGGATTATCAACTTCGTATTTATGCTATCATCAACACAGATTCAGGCATTATAATGTCCACAGTCCTTATTTTAACAAATTTCTTCACATACTTGCCATCAACTTTTCATTGCCTGAGACTTATTTGCTTGTGTGCTGTTTGTGTTGAATGCATTTTTTGCTTTGTGGCAATTTCAGGAAATCACAGAGGAGTCGCAGGTTGAAGCATAAGAGATGCTAAAATTGAAATGTTGAAATTTCTCATGATGTATTCTGACAGCAGAATACATCAGACACTAGAAAGGCAATATGTCAATCAATGGAAGGGTAATTGATGTGATACAGCAATCTGTATACGGGGTAAAGTTGGGAGTTCATAACCCGCTTGAATCAAACTGTGAAATATGATGTATTAAGAACTGTGTAAGGTTTTGAACGACCAACAATAAAAAAAAAAGAAAAAAAAAGAAATTTCTCATGAGAGGATGGTTAGTAGGATAGAACAAGGTAAGACCAATGAAAGCTATGGATAAAGATCTACTTTATTCTCAAACTAACCACAGTTCTTTTAGCAATAACTCTGGCATCTGGAGTGGAAGATGCTGTTATCAAAGTTATACAAATGGCAATGCAGCAGGGTAAGAGTCCAGCAGCAGGACACACCTCTTGTTCTGCAGAGTATCCAGCCCAACACTCAGAAACCCTACCCAAATTACTGTTTTCAGCTCATGTGTCTGCTCAAGAGATAAAGAAATGAAGTCCAGATGTGCATTCATGGGAAGATCTTCATATTTTTAATTTGAACTTTTCTGCTCAGTGGTAAGATTAATGAAATGTGTGTTGGCTGGTTTCAGTTGGAAGTTTTGAGAGTTGGGAATTATATTTCCTATAATCCTGGTGCACCAATGCCAATTAAATTTGTATCATCAAAGACATTTTTCTAAATAAAGTACTTTGAAATAACACAATCATATTTTTAAAATGATGATGTGGACCCCAGAATCAGACATTTTACTACACAAATAACTCTGCTACTGAGAAACATGAATTCCACTGTCATACCTGTCCCATTTTGTTATAAATCTCTCTAGGTGTCATCTGGAACATATTGGAAGACAGGGATATGTTATCCTTGTCTTTTAAATAAGATACTGGAAATTTTTCCTTGCATACATTCCTTGATTAAAGCTCAGATGTCTTTCCTGGGGCTGATTGTATGATAAGTGAATACTTTTAGTGGATTCTCTCACACTACAAGCAGGAATCTAGATGCTAAGGTAGATGTGATGTAAAGTAGCAACAGAAAGTGTCAAATGTCAGACACAATTAAACAGGGGATGTAAATCATGTGACAAAAGGGTTTCTATTTGCACAGTAATTCATGAGGTGATTTGTCACCCTAGCACCTCACAGCCATCCTTTCTCCAGATTTATTTATTTTATTCCTTGCTTCCTTTTTTGATAGTTATACAATTATTCACTTAGTGCATTAAAAAACTTACTTGTTTTAAAGATCCTATGAATAAAGGTCATCCTCTCAGCATGCTGTTTTTTTAAAAGCAGTACTTTAGGAATCTTATTGATCACACGGTAGTTACAATAATATCAGATATAATGATGTATACAATCTAAGCAAAGCAGGCTGAGAATTTTCATAATGTAAAAATGTACACATTAAAAGTAGCCAGATGCATGCAGCAGCCAGAGTGGTGGGGGACCCCCTCATGAGAAGCCTGAAGGGCAGGTGTGGCCATGTTGCTTTCCTCCCATTACTGTCCATGACTCTGAGAATGACTCCAGACACAAATACAAGGGCTATACTGTGTTGTTGTATCTGTGACCCAGTACAATCCACAGTGGTGTAATTGATCTTTCTGTGACACTCCCAAGAAAAGAAGTCAATAGAGAGCCCTGTGCGGGTAGCAGAGAGCAATGGTAGTTTTACCTAGGTTGGATCTGGAGGATGTTTAACTCTGGGTGTGAATGTTTGTGAAGACCATAAGTCTCCTTTTGCTGTTTTCTTCACAGTTGGCATGCATGTGATACAAATTTAGGACAGTTCTGAGTGGTGTCTGACTGAACTACTTTTAAAAACATGAGAATTTGTGTCTGTGTGTGGTGCTGGGGATTGGGAAAAAATGAGAATTTTTAATAACAAATTTTAGCAACATAACATTTAAAAAATGTATCCATGGATTTTAATGAAAGGCAAAGGAGGGCATTTGAGTGCTAGTGCTATCTGGCTCTAACATATTGATTGGTCCTTTGTTTTTGCCACATCTTAATGGTGCACAGGTACATTAATCTCTTACCAGAGCAGGCAACATTTGAAATCTCAGACCAGAGAAAATCCAAAACAGAAAAAAAAAATGCCACTTTTCTTTGCAACCTCTAAGAAATTAAACCAAAATTATACATAGTTCAAGGTTCCTTTTTCCTACTGAGCAGTGGTGCTTTTTTGTGTTCATTGTTCATAGAAGAAACTAAGGCAGTACCTTCCAGCACTGCTGGAGTGTGGACTCTTGGCATGCTGCAGCTGGGAAGAAAAGACCTTGAGTCATGCACACTGGTTTCCTGCACACCCCCTTGACCCTGTTCTGTGCAAAAGCAAAGGCTTTGGGGGACTTTTTCTTGACAATTCAGCTTAGAGATCCCCTTAGGGAAATTTCTCTGAGTAGAAATGCTTCTACAAAGAGTCAGCAGATTCTCTGAAGCTAGAGGAGAGACTTGCTGTCTCTGAATGCCCTGAAGTTGCTGCTCAGATTGCAAGCTCCTATTAGAGGAGAAAAGAGCATTAAAATAACTTGAACATCTATTTTATTGGCAATTTAGGATGCAAAGTATTTTATTTTTAAACTTCTAAAATTTGAAAACAATATGCTTATGTTAAATAATACAGGTTCCCAAAGCTGGGTGTGCTCACTTGGACCTCAGTTTTTCTGCTCTAAATACAAAAACAAACTCCTAAAATTCCTAGGTGAAACACAAGTGTTCTGATGACATGTTACTGATGAACTGATCAGTCCAGTTGTTAGAATCTCTTTTTTCCCTTAATAAGGACATTCAAAACTTAAGATGCATTGTTCTATTCTTAATTCCAACAACTTCATTCTGAACATCTTCTGGGAGTTATACACCACACACAGGAAGAATCCAGCTTCATCCTTCTCACTCTCGTGCCCCTTGGAGATGGGCAAGGACACACTCACCATGTTTCTTGGTTTACCAAAAGGAAGAAGCCTTGATGAACATTGAGCTGTAAGCACCTTCTAGTTATCCTGATGAGCTTGCCCATGTTGATATGGTCAAATACCAGGAACTTGGTTTTATCCAGGATGGGCAGCTGCCTCTCACCTTGTGTTGTTCTGTTATCATAGGGATTGGGATCTGAATGGAATCTGCTCTTGGACGAATCTCACATCTTCTACTCTTTGTTGGAAGGCCTTCTCAGGAGGCATTGTGGGGAGGTCCTGGGGGCAGATCCTATTCTGGTGGTGGTGACTTCCCTGTTTACCATGATTAGTGTCTGATACCCAGATGAGTGGTAGAAAGAAACAAAAGCCTCTTCTTTTCCTGTCTCCCCAATCTCTGCCTCTGATGTTGTGTACAGCTACAAAAGAATGATATACTATATTAGAAAGGGGAAAAATGAAAATCCCAAGAAGAGAAATTGATTGAGCAGAGCTGGGTAGATGCCAGGGAACAAGAGATCTAAGGAAATATACCTATTTAAAACAGATACCTGTTAAGTTGTCATCTCTACTCCCAACTCTTGACTTGTATCCAAAATACTTCCCAACATCATTGAACACCTATTGTTAGATATGCTGCATGGGTCATTTGTCCACAGCTGCAATCATCATTTTTCTCCTATTATTTTTTTCTACTTGTACTGGTTTTATCACTTTCAGTATTTTTCATTTCAGACCAGACATCTTTTCCATAAAGGCCAAATAATCACTAGACTTTCAATGTATTCTAGACGTTGTTCAATTTTTTTTATAATTTAGGTTCATTCCAGGAGCTTAATAACTTCATAGCAAATTTTGATATAGTGGCCCAAACTGGAAAAATCTCTAATTTTTTAAAGAAACCATTTAAAACCATAAAAATGTTTTAAAATAAACATTTTAAACTTTTAGAACTCTTTAGAAATGGCAGAGAAGTGAAAATTAAAATTATCAATACCAATTATATTGAAACAGTTTAACAATGTCAATATTCTTCATCCCTTGAATAGCTTTTTCCTTCTTTTTAATGATTTATACTTTTCTGAACACTTAGAAGTTTTTAAAATATAATTGGTATAATGAAGCTGTCTTAGGGTAGCTATTTATATTCTTTTCTTACTTAAATGCCTGTTCTTTGATGATTTGGACCCCTCTGGGTGCTGCCTCCATGGTCAAGAAAGCAGCAGGAAGGGAATAACTGTGTCCTTTTAGCACTATGCTCATTGACTTCTCTGCCAATTTCCCTCTCCTCGGAGATTGAGATCCATTCAGAGGACTTAGTTTTTATTCAAAGAAGGGTGGGCATTTTGCTGCACTACCCTCAAGAATAAAGCACTCGAAAATAGCCTAAACTTTGAAATGGCAATGTAGAAATCTATCTGTAAAATGTGAATAAAATCTCCACTTTTAAGTGTGGTATAACAGAAAGCAAAAAGATGGACAAATCACTCTCGTTGTTCCTCTCTGCTAATTGCATACAACTGCTGATGTGGTCAAGGATGTTTAATATCAAATGATACCATGATGCCTATAGAAATCACTAAAAATATTAGTTTACTAAGGACAGACTCAATAATTCTGCTTATTTACAGCAAATAGGCATATTTCTCCTACTTTGGAGAAAGCAAGTGCAATCTACCACATAAACAAACATGTTGTCTTGCCATAGAGAAGATCATAAGCCTATGGTGAGGCAAAAGGCTGCCCATGAAGGGAAGCACCTAATCCGTAGCCTCATAGGCAAACACAGGAAGAGACAAGGGCTGGAAATGGAGATTGGCTGAATGGATTTGCAATTTAATATCTTGATTTCATCTATTCTCCATACCCAACCCTTACTCCAATGATCTACTTTCTGTCTTCTCAGAGCATAATGAATATGTCATAGCCAATAAAGCTAGACAGTAAACAGCACTTTTCTAAGACATGCCAATGCTTATTCTTTCAAGACAATTTAGCACTGTGTGGGGAAGAAAAGGGCATTTCTTTTTAATTCTCTTCACTCAGAAAGACACACCAAGCCAAAATGGTTCCATGATGCCCAAAAGGAGACAACACAAATGTTTCCTGGAATACACGTCAGTGCCTCTGTGCATGTCCTCTTTCAGCTGCGACATTGAGTGGCTTTGTACACTACACAATAGAATTCATGAGCCACATACAATTTCATCAAGATTCTAGGATAGTAGAAAATGTGATGTGTACTCCTTATCATCATTGTCATACGTAACCATATCCAAATCCACATATATCTCTTAATTCCAGAATAACCCAAATGCATTAGTGTTACCAGACTCAGCATGTAGAGCATATGGAAAAATTTGCTTCCAAATCTGCCCCAAACACATGATTCTCTAATTCTGAATCTGAACCAATGAAGACTAGGTATATTCAAATGGCATCAGTGGAACACAAACAGCTTAATTCAATTCAAGCTTTAGCTTTTTTTTTTTTTTTGTTCTGGTCTTTTAGTTCTTATTTCCTGATGACTACTGACCTTTCTACACTTGGCCATGAACTAAATCTGAACTTCCACCCACTCACATTGTTTTTCCTTCTTCACTTTGATATCCAATAAATGATCCCCCCTTCCTCTTTAGTATCAGCAACTTCTGCTTTGCTTAGTGCTTCATGAAATATTACTATATTTGTAGTAAGATTTGTAGTCTGTCAAATCAGTTGTCATTAGCAATATGTGAGGCTGTGCCAATGGAGAAATGAATCATGAAACACAAAATGACTATAATTTGTTTAGAACCATGTTTGACTTGGTGATGCCATAATGATTGATTCCTCCACTGGGGGAGTTTTGGGATCTGGTTGGAAAGTCTAGATTAGCAAATAAAAAAGGGTAAAACAAAGCAGCATATTCATGAGTCAAGTGGCATGGCCCAGAGTTATTATGCAACTGAAGTTCATAGAAAGGGTGTCAGTGGAGTCTAAAACTATCGGGAAAACATAACAGTGGATCAGCCTAAGCCAGAAATGAAGAAAGGGCAGGATTGGGGTAGGTAAGATGTAGAAACACAATGACTATTCCAAGCAACATGAATCTTATGAGTGAAGGCAAAAAGGTAAAAACAATGATGTTGAGCTCTTAGGGCACTGAGAAGACACATGTGCATCTCTCAGTAGGGCCAGAGCAGGGTGGGGTTCCGGAAGGTGGTTACATGTGAACTTGAATGCATAAGGAAAACCCTGACTCTTCAGGGAAGTTTTAGTTTGGGGAGAATGCAAGGTTATTTTAGGCTAATGAACAGATGTATTTGTTAGGGTAACAGAAGCCTTTATTACAGATAAGCCTATAATCTTAGGGACTTAATAGGCATTTGTTTCTTGTTTATGTAAAGTCTAAATCAGTTATTTCTGATTGGAGACAAGTTTTCATTTGGGTGGATTAAATAAATTACATCATAGCTTATATATAGCATTCTTCCAACATACATTTACTATAACCTCATGTAGCAAACATCTTCTAAGCACCTACTATTTATTACTAACCATTCTTGGCTGATTTTTGCAGATAGTGACTGAGGCAAAAAGCATTGTCCTTGACCTTGAGAAACTTCTGCTGGTGAGGAAGCCAGATACAAGACATTTATCTGCTGTGGAGCACAAAGGAAGTATTTTACAGAAATATGGAGGATGAGAGATCAAATGAGGATCTTTTAATGAGAATGAAGTTTATATCCAATGGGAACAGTTGCTCTACTAAGAATAATCACTGGAAATTGCAAGTTCAAATGTGAAATACCTGATCATTAATGTAAAGAGTATTACCTTCTACCAAGATTTTTACCATGACACTGTTCTTCAAGCTCAGGTATTTATCTATCTGTGTCCCCTGATGTTATTGTAGGTACCTATATTTTGGTGGCCTTCCCCAGTTATAACATGGGGATATTTCCTAGCAGACCTTCCCCAGTTATAACATGGGGACATCAGGAATTAGGACAGAGAGTGACTGACTCTGCTTGTGACCAAGTGTGTTTGTCTCTGAGACTTATCAAGACTATAGTATTTTCCTTTTATGATGATTTATAAAAGTTTCTTCCAGAGGAACAAAGGACTAATGGCTGCATGAGAAAAAGGTTCGAATCTTTAGCCATCAGGAAAATGCAAATCAAAACTACACTTGAGATTCCATCTCACTCTAGTTAAAACGGCAATCATCAAAAATACAAAAAAAAAACAATAAATGCTGAAGAAGATGAAGGGAAAAGAAAAACCCTTACACACCTTTGGTGGGATTGCAAGTGAGCACAGTCACTATGGAAATCAGCATAGTGGTTTCTCAAAAGCTAAAAACAGAACTATCATATAATCCAGCCATACCATTTATTTACATAAAAGAACTAAAATCAACCTACTTTAGAGATACATGCACACCATGTTTATGCCAGCACAATTCGTAAGAGCCAAGTTATGGAACCTGCCTAGATGCCCATCAACAGGTGAATAAATAAAGAAATGTGGTATATATATATGTATACAATGGAGTTTTGTTCAGCCATAAATAAGAATGAAATTATGTCATTTGCAGGAAATTGAATATAACTAGAGACCATAATTTTGAGCAAAATAAGTCAGGCTCAGAAAAGATACTGTATTTTTTTCTCATATGTAGAAGCTAGAAGGAAAAAAATGATCATAAAAAAGGACACCATGAAAGTAGAAGGGAAAACATTAGAGTAGAGGGGGAGGATAGAGATGGAAGGGTGGGGGAATATCAAGGAGTGAAACTGATCAATTGTTTTTATATAATAGTGAATATGCCGCAATGAAACCTACCATTCTATATAATTGATAAGTACCAATAAAAGTGTTTTCTAGGTCCAGCTTAAAATTATGTACTTTTAATACTTTGATCGAGATTGTAGTTCTCCTCAGGACATGTCTCTTTAGTGTAGTTTATTTGATACTGTCATACTATGCACAGATTCAGATACATGGAAGCAGTACATATACTAATTTGGATGTCAGCTTTGGTGTACATTGTACAGGCTTTAAAGGATGTCACCTTTAAAGCCTGTACAATACTCTTTTTAGCTATGTGGATAAGATAGTAAACCTCTCTGTGCCTCAGTTTATGTAAGATGGAGATAATAATATGGCTTACCTCCTTTGGTTGATATGAAGATTAAACAGGCTAATTCAGGGAGTTCAAACCTTTTCTATTTGCAGTGCACACAGTGTCTCAGCAATTCTCTTCTCTAGGCCACCCTAGTGAAGAGAAAAAGAAACACCTAATAGTACCACTTACCAAGTATGTCCGAACAACTTAAGTATTTATGTCCCAGCAGCTTGCAGTACCAGCCACTTGAAAATACAGTACACATAAATTATATAAATAATAGTAATAATAGTATTTTAATCTTATTCTTAAACATTGTTACTTATTAATAAGATGCATGTGTTTTCTGGGCATCACATAATTTCTCCAACCTTGCAGTCACAGTGGGTACTACCACCCTCACTTCCTTCCCTGTATGAATTTTCACCTGGGCATTATGTTTTATATCAGCAACTGCCAAAGACAATGCATAGAACACAATCACAAGGAATACTGTGATTGAGACTGTGAAACAGCTTGAGCTGTTCAATAGTGTCTAACAGGTATCAGGTATCACAGTATATATTGTAGGATTTGCAATATTCCACAGAGACCCTGTGAGTTCACAGCAATGCTTCAGCAGCACAGTTTGGGAATCACAAAGTTAATTTACTTAAAGTACTAAAAACACTGCCGGCCATGTACCAGTATTCAGTTAATCTTAACCGTTTGTCTACTTTACCTCTGATACCAACAAAAGCCCACAGAGCTAAGTTTGTTTTATCACCACTATCTTTGGATTAGGGAACAACTTCCAGAAGGTCAAGTGTGTCACCCACTGGCACCAGGAAGTGGGAAAAACAGAATTTTTATTCAAGTTTATCTGTAGCATACTGCCTCCTTTTGGTTCAAGACTCAGCTCTACCAATACATTTTAAACGTGAAGTTTCTATCCAAGTATCATGTTAAGAAAGGCATTTCCCCAACAACTAAAGACTGGCCACTATGTTATAATGGTATTAATTGATTTAATTTTTCTTTTAAAACTGACTCAACATTTCAAACATACTGAAAAACACAGAACATAATGTATAATTGCCGCCAAAATTTTATAAAAATGAACATTTTACTATATTTGTTTCAAATAAATAAAACATAAGTAAAGACCACTTATTCTTTCTGCTTTTCTCCCTCTTTCAAAGAAACCACTATCCCAAAGATGTATCATTGCTATGAACAATTTTGTTCTTTGACTATGCACATATATGCACATGGTATCTGCCAACCATGTAAACTGTGGAGGACCAAGATCAATATGTTCATCTCTTTATTTTCTTTTCACTGTTGTATCACCAGTGCCTAAAATATAGAATGACACTTGGTTAGACATGCTACAGATTTTATGAATGATTAAATAGAGATATTGTTTATATTTCTAAGTGTATATAAATATCACTATACTATATATTCTCTTGCAATGTGCTTTTTTGAACATTATGTCTCTAAGATTAATCATATTAATATGTACAACTGTTTAAAAAGGTATGTACAGCTGTAGCTCATTCATCTTAAATGCTATACAGTTGTCTCTTTATACAAAAATAGCACATTATCAGTTTCCCTTAGGATATTTATATTTTGATGTACTAAATTCAGCTGCATTAGACATTATTGTACAAATTATAATAATATTCAGTGTTTATCATGTTTTTCAGATTCATAAAATTTACCATTATAATAAATATAAATGTTGGTAGCATACATTGCTCAGGGAGCTTGACAATAATTAGCAACACTTAGAATACTCTGAACCCATGATCTAGCAATACTCTTTCTAGGGGTAGGTTAATAAGGATATGACTATAAGCATGTTCAATGTCAACACTTTTAGCAATAAAAACAATTGCCATTTTCTCTTGTCAGTCATTTATGAATGCATAATAAATGTACCTAAAAACTTTGTGGCTCAAAATAATCATTTTATGACAATCATGAATTTCATGGGTCAGCAACTTATAAAGAATATAGTTGGGGACCTTCGTTTCTGCTTCATGATGGCTGAAGTGTCAGCTGGAGGAACCTGAAGGCTTGGAGAGGGAATCTTCTGTACACATCTTTATTCACACATCTGACAGCTGGTGCTGACTGTTGGCAGGCACCTCAGCTGGAGCTGATAACTGGATAATCCACATTTGACGTAGGGTTGCTCACAGCATGGTGACCTAAAACCACTATGGCAGCTCAGAGCCCCATAGCAGTGACCAAAGAGAGCCAGATCAAAACTATCATTTTTTATGACCTACATTAGGGAATCACATCATAAATTCCTTTTACCATAGACACAGATCCTTCTAGATAAAAGTGGAAGAAAAATAGTCTCCATCTCTTAAGAAGGAGTGTTAAAAACATATAGGATGGAAAATGTAAGTCCTCTTGGGAAAAAAAAATAACATCTACATTTGTCCTGTCTTCCTCTTTACTTCCTCTTTCTCTTTTTTAAATCTCCACTTAATTCCATGAAATTATTTGCATTAGGGCCTCTTTATGAATGCTGTCCCATATATGTGTGATGTCACATATCTAGTGTGTGTGACATCACACTTGTATATGGCAATACACATTCCATACCCCTGCATTCTTAACTTTCTCTCTAATTCGTTCTATGTTTTCTTATTATATACATGCATACAATAATATTTTATCAGCCTTTGCCACTACATATTATTGTGTCAACATGTTCCCTAACTGGCTTTGCTCCTGAATGGTAAACAAACAAAGCAAGTACTCACTTGCCTGTTCCCGTGGTGTTCCTGCAGGCCTTCACTTGTGCTTATGTGTTTATCTTTCATGCTTTGGCCTCCTTACTTCTCTAGCAGGTTTTTCTCTTTCTGGAAAAGGTAAGGAATAAAAACAGTGTTTATTCCGTCATTATTTTGCTGTTCTTTGGTAAGAAACATACCTCATGAGGCACATTTCATCCTTTTCTCATTTATAGTCAATGCTTCACATGTCTTCATAAATTGCTCCATATACTCTAGAGAATTTTAGCATTTTCTTTTGTATTCTATTTTAATTAGACGTTTAATTTTGCTACATTGCCTTCTGAAATAAATTATCATACTCTTTACCTAAAACGTTACATTAGCAACAAATAAAATTTAAAAAAAAATTTTACATTAACATTTTTAAACATTAGCTCAGAGAGCCTATTTATTTATTTATTTTAAGTAAACTTGCTTTTCTTTAGGGGTTTCCCTATGGTGTATTTCAAATGCCCTAAATAACCTTAGGGATTTTCCAATTTCATGAGTGTACTTTATACCAAGAAATAAGACTTTTAAATTATGTGTGTAGCTCAATCTTTTTCCTCTTTTTTCCTAGTTTATCTCAGATATTCAAGCTTTATGAATATTTAATTTTGGAAACTACTTTTTGACCTAATGAATAAAGTAATATCTCTTTTCCCTTTCTTACCACCTCTTCAAGTTCCTGAGTCTATTATACAGCATTGTTCATGTATTTCACCTCAATTGTTCTATTTTATTATATTATATATAGATTATATATATAACAAATTATATATAATAATTATATATATACTAAGACATTTTCTTTTCCATCTCCCCACTCATTCACACCAGCCTCATATACTCAGCAGCATTTCCCAATGCTCTGTATCCTCTCATGCCTCTCTTTTGCCACTGACAAAGGTTAAGATGCCTCAAATGACCTTCCCCTTTCTTCAAATGGAATCTTAACTTTCAGCTCAAATGTTATTTTCTTGGTATGAAGTCACAGTCCCTATTTCATGTATGCAGTGCTTTTCATGTCATACTGAATTGCTGTTTACATGTCTGTCTCTCCCACAAAGTTCCTCAAGGACTGGGCCCATGTTTTACTCATGTCTGTAAACTCTTGTGCCAGAAAAATATTTGTTCAATTCACTTATAATCAATGACCAAATCTCTGACCTTGAACAAGTTACCTACACTCTCTGGGTGATTCACTTTGTTATTTATATATTTATATTTATTAAAATAATACTATCTAATTTAAAGAGTTATTTTGAAGATTACATGAAATAACTCATGCAGAACACAATACCTGACACATTATTCACATTCAGTAAACATTTGACTGTTGCTGTTATGTATACATATATTTTTAAATATTGAATTTGATTACCCAGATCCTACCATTTTAAGTAGTGGTCATGAAGATGAATGCTTTATTGTCTAAGCTTTTCTTTAAAAGACTACTTTGTCAAATGGTCTGAAAAATGTTGAACAGATAGATTTGTTTACTATGACAATGAAATATCTTTCTGTAAAAAGACTGCATGAAGCATATTCTCTCTGAAACAGAAAAACCAGTTTGCAATGTGACATCATGAAGTGCCTACAGGAAGAAATACAGAAGGATTGCCAATACCCCCAGCCATCAATGTGAGTTCTGTTTGACTCTGGAATGTTATACATCTTTCTCAGCCGCTATTCTATCACCTCTCTTTCATCATCTAAATTACCATATATGTTTCAGGCTTTAACTTTGTCATAATAGAAAGTTCAGACTAAATTCATTTATCAACATAAGATTATAATCCTTGGGTGTAAAAGAAATAAATTTCAACATCAGTCAAGTTTATGTGAAGTGTTCTCTAAATAATAGATATGTTCAAATAAATATTAAATACCATATCATACATACAATATATTCATAATGTTTTGTTAAAATATTCAATATCTCAACAATAATATTCCATAAGGATTGTTTAGTGTTCTTATGTGAATATTTGTACTTACATCTTTCTTTTTGTTCCAATATAGTTAACTAAATATAGCTTTAAACAAAAGTATTTTTGAGGATTATCTAGCTGGGGGATTCTAGTGAGAAAACATATTTTACTATCTATTTATATGACTTGTAGCATGAATTATCAGACTTCCCATAATGAATGCTTTGGCTAAAAATATACTTCTAACCAATTTCATTAAAAAAAAAAAGATATAGTGTTTAAAAGATTTGGTCTCTAGTACCATGCAAATGATCCAATCATTGAATTACTTCTTAAATTATCTAGGCCAACTTGTAGTGTACATATTTTACTAATTTTGACAATTGTTGTTAGTTAACTAACTGTAATTTACTTATGTTCAGTAATATTTTGCCAAACCATTCTACGCAAATACGGACATTTTTTCAGAACATGCCAGCTAACATAGAAGAGAACAGGAAAAAAAAACAGTAATGAAACTAAAAGAAGATTTCATCAGGGCAAAGTTTTCTAGTTTGTAGACTACAGCAAAATCCTTCATTATGTTACTACGAGTTTTTGTCAAATGGGGAACCACAAGGGCTGTTTTCGTTAGTGAGGGTAGGTTAGTACAGTTGACACTGTCTTAACAAACAATACCCAAATCTCAATGGCTTAACTGCAGAAAAGAGTGTTTCTCATTTTCTCATTTATGCACCATCTACGGTGGGTCTGAGAAACCCAAGAGAACCTGTCCTTGGTGTGATGCAGGTACCTCAACCATTGATCCCACCATCTGCCCTCAAGTTCTCTTCTACATCTCCTGCAACACAGAGGTGATAGCATGAAAGAATCTTACATGTACAACTAAACACTTCAACCCAGAAATAACCTAGTAGTTAAATATTCCATTCCATAGGTTATTTCCACTTATAGCTTATTGAATGATTTTCATTTGCCTAGAAGGATAGGAAACCCAAACATTGTTGAAAGTACTAGAAATGATATCATAGGATTCTGCACAGACCTTAACACAGTGTTTCTATGTAACAATTACTGCATCTTAAATTAATTCCAGTTTCAACAATACAAACAAGTTAGTCTTAAAGTGAGTTTTGCATAGGTAGCTTGGAGTCATGGCTGTGACACTACTGGCATTTGGCTACCTTCAGTCAGCCTGGAGCTTTGTTGGCACATACCAAGCCAAAACAGTCCACCTACCAGAGGGATTGAGAGACAAATGAGGAGTGGTCTCAGTCCAAGGGAACAGAGAGTTGGGAAGATCATAGTGTTTCAATAACAGAACAGTAGGCATTGGAAAAGAGGGAAGTCTGAGTAGTGATTAGTCGGGTGGTGCTTTAAATATGAAGTGAAAAAGTTACTCTATAATTAACTCTCAAAAGCACTGGAGTACATTCTTCCCTGCTTTGGGTATTCATTAAACAATTGCAAGGCAAGGCAGTACAAGGATTGATCTCCATCTCCCTCTCTAGCTTGGATGGTAAACTGACGTTAATAAAACTTGTTACCCAGAAAGCTGTGAAATCAGCAGCAGAGCTAACATTGCCTGCAAATAAATAAAAGATAGTAGAAGTGGCCATAATGCCAAGCAGTGGCCTCAGTGATCAGAAGACACAGTGATACCCAGGAAATCAAGAGTAACTTGCAAATGATAGTATGCAGCAAAAGTTGAATCAGTAGCTTAGAAGAGGGGCAGTGACACAGCACCCACTCAGGGCACGGGGTGGGGGGTGTGCCAAAGCAGAAAAGTGGAGAAAATATTGTTACTATAGGATAACTGAGCAAAAATTTTGTCTTGTTTAGACCCACCTAAGCAACAGGGGCACCCATTCCACAGCTGCTGGGGATGGGCTCATAGCTCACAGCTGTC